GTCTGCGTCTGGACAACAATCTGTTACTGCCCTGGAGTCGTACAGCGCGTCATTTCAGGCAGAGGAGACGCGTGTCCCTCCCATGATGCATTTCGAATAGTCCGTTTGTCCATACTGTCTATGGTTTGGACCCGGGTTCGCGTTCACACCAGAGGAACGGCACCAAAGTTGGTCATTTGGTGCGGATTCAAGCGAACCGAGACCACCTCTTTTTTGAGGTCCCGGTCCGCTTGATTTGGTTCGGGTCCGAGTCCGATTGACGCTTTCACACCAACGCAAACGAACCGAACTAACCACTTTTGGTTCCCTAAGGGTGTTTTCACACCGACAGTATTTGGTGCGCACCCTAAGGGTCCATTCGAACCAAAAGTGGTTAGTTCGGTTCGTTTGCGTTGGTGTGAAAGCCTGAAGCGTCTCCTCTGCCTGAAATGACGCGCTGTACGACTCCAGCGCAGTAACAGATTGTTGTCCAGACGCAGACGCGATTCATTTTCGAATCATTTTACCAACAATGGCCATTACTGAGAACGTAATACACGAAGATCAGAGCAAGTACGTGCGAACGTGTGGCTCCAGAGTGAGTCAAAATTGGGGGTGCGCACCCCTGTTCGGGACCTACATGCACAGAGACGACCCGGTGTTCCCCGTGATCACGCAGCAACCAACATTTGTTATTTTAGGCTTTAATTAACCAAATAATTTCATGGCAATAGGCAATCGCCCATTCAATTGATACAACTTAAAAAAGTCCCTGTTTTTAGCCTAGTGTGAGAAATACAGTTGGACTAGATCCAAACCAGAGTCCCGAACCAGCGGGGGCAGCTCCGGTTCAGTCCGGGCTCAGAGGAGCTGGAGCGGGGAGCCTCGACCTGAGGAAGCGCTTTCCCCGGGAAGAACCAAATGCGCGGAGGACGGACGCTCAGAACAACATATAACAAACCAAACTGGACTCACGCTTCTGTCCGGATGCTGCACCACCTCGGAACCAGCCGCGGTTCTTGAGCGCGGAGGACAGGAGCAGCGCGCCCGGACCTGTGGTCCACAACACATTCTCGCTTTCCCGTACAGAACCAGCGCGCAGACGACGGAACGTACCCGCTCAGACCCAGTCATTGCGCACTGGTCTTTCTCGCCACCGTTTGGAACCAGCACATGGAGGATGAAGCCTCCGGACCATCTGACCAACGAGCTTGTAACAGAAGACCAAGGACCAGACCCCAGCCCCGTCCTGAGGAGCTGCGCGCTACGCTGAACGCTGTTGGCTGCTGCTGTTACTGTAACTCTGGGCTGATGCGGTGAGTTTGTACAAAGTTCTACATGTTGCTGTTTTATGAGTTCATGATGATAATTTGAGATGAGGACGGCCCGTGGTATTAACAGGAACATCGGTGTTGATAACTGGAGTATCGCTGTTTTACCGGGGAAACAGAGACACGTGAATCGAACCAGTTTTGGTTTGTTTGCCGGTGTGAACGCGGACCACACTGGAGTGTATTTGCTACATAATAACAATTTTATTGCCTGGTGCGGACCAAATAATCGAACTAGCGGTGTGAAAACGACCTTAATTTAGTTCTAGTTTAGACCTGATGTAGTCCTCAAGGTCGTTTTCACACCGCTAGTTCGATTATTTGGTCCGCACCAAGCAATAAAATTGTTATTATGTAGCAAATACACTCCAGTGTGGTCCGCTTTCACACCGGCAAACGAACCAAAACTGGTTCGACTGGTTCGATTGACGTGTCTCTGTTTCCCCGGTAAAACAGCGATACTCCAGTTATCAACACCGATGTTCCTGTTAATACCACGGGCCGTCCTCATCTCAAATTATCACCATGAACTCATAAAACAGCAACATGTAGAACTTTGTACAAACTCACCGCATCAGCCCAAGTTCGGGTAACAGCAGCAGCCAACAGCGCTCACAGTAGCGCGCAGCTCCTCAGGACGGGGCTGGGGTCTGCTCCTTGGTCTTCTGTCGTCCTAGAAGCGCGTTGGTCAGATGGTCCGTAGGCTCTATCCTCTATGTGCTGGTTCCAAACGGTGGCGAGCAAGACCGGTGCGCAATGACTGGGTCTAAGCGGGAACGTTCCGTCGTCTGCGCGCTGTTTCCGTGCGGGAAAAGTGAGAATGCACTGTGGACTACAGGTCCGGGCGCTGCTCCGGTTCTCCGCGCTCAAGAACCGCGGCTGGTTCCGAGGTGGTGCAGCATCCGGACAGAAGCGTGAGTCCAGTTTGGTTTGTTATATGTTGTTCTGAGCGTCCGTCCTCCGCGCATTTGGTTCTTCCCGGGGAAAGCGCTTCCTCAGGTCGAGGCTCCCCGCTCCAGCTCCTCTGAGCCCGGACTGAACCGGAGCTGCCCCCGCTGGTTCAGGACTCTGGTTTGGATCTAGTCCGACTGTATTTCTCACACTAGGCTAAAAACAGGGACTTTTTTAAGTTGTATCAATTGAATGGGCGATTGCCTATTGCCATGAAATTATTTGGTTAATTAAAGCCTAAAATAACAAATGTTGGTTGCAGTGTGATCACGGGGAACACCGGGTCGTCTCTGTGCGTGTAGGTCCAGAACAGGGGAACGCACCCCCAATTTTGACTCACTCTGGAGCCACACGTTCGCACACTGATACTTGCTCTGATCTTCGTGTATTACATTCTCTGTATTGGCCATTGTTGGTAAAATAATTCGAAAATGAATCGCGGCTGCGTCTGGACAACAATCTGTTACTGCGCTGGAGTCGTACAGCGCGTCATTTCAGGCAGAGGAGACGCGTGTCCCTCCCATGATGCATTTCGAATAGTCCGTTTGTCCATACTGTCTACGGTTTGGACCCGGGTTCGCGTTCACACCAGAGGAACCGCACCAAAGTTGGTCATTTGGTGCGGATTCAAGCGAACCGAGACCACCTCTTTTTTGCGGTCTCGGTCCGCTTGATTTGGTTCGGGTCCGAGTCCGATTGACGCTTTCACACCAACGCAAACGAACCGAACTAACCACTTTTGGTTCGAATGGACCGTTTGGTGCGCACCAAATACTGTCGGTGTGAAAACACCCTTAGTTTAGTCCTGGTTTAAGTCCTGGTTTAGACCTCATGTAGTCCTGGTTTAGATCAAATTGGTCAAAAATAGGGACACTTATTTCTTGTATAAAACTAGGACATATCAGTGGTTTTGTATAAATCTGCTGGGACGAGACACAGGCTCAAAACTGGGACTGTCCCGGGTAAATAAGGACGCCTGGTCACTCTAACTAACATGTAAAAGTTAATGAGATGTAATAGTTGCTTAAATTGTGTGTTTTGGTTCTCAGGCCAAAACAGACATCACGGGTGTGTCTCTCTGTGTTGCCAGATCTTATGACTAAAACGCTCAATAAAGCCCAAAGCTTCCTCTGTGAACACTGTGCCTTCAGCAAAGGGCATCCTAGGTTCAGTGGGAGTGCTTATTGTCATTCTTAGACTTCACTTTATTAATTCACAGTAGCTCACAAATGTCTGTTTGTCTGTAGTAAAACTAAACAGAAACATTGTGTCACCATGGTAACTACACACACACCTCCCTCTCTCCTACCCCCTCTCTCCCTGTTCCCCCTCTTTCTCTCCCTCCCTCCCCCTCTCCCAGTGTCTCCCTCTCTCCCTTCTTTTTGCTCTTTTAGTCACAGATGTTGCTTCACGTTGGGGACAATCGTAGACTTTGTGCAGCTCTTACATTCTTTGGCCTGATGTTAAAAATCGCGTTTTTGTTTCTAAGTTTCACAGCTACACCGAGCGAATGCCTCTCCCAAATGACACACACACGATTCCCAGAAACCAAGGCCCTTTTCCAGTTTCAGCGTTTACACTCACAAAAAGAACTGGACTCAAAACAACCCCCCGAAAATCTGCCACTGAAATGGGTTTAGAATGGTGTTTTTTGTTTGTAAAATATGCATAAAATGTGAAACATACAGGACATACAATCAGTGGAGGAGGAGATGCATTGTGTAACTTTTCTGGTGGAAGGTCCATCAAATTCTTTTCTCCATGCCTAGAATATTTCACAGTATGGTCTTAAACCTTTCTGTCTTTAGAGAGACCAAATTAGACCAAGTTACAGGTCAGATCTGTGGAGAGGCTACCCCGCTCACAGTCAGAATGTCTGTTTTTTTTTTTTAAGTATTTTTGAGTTTTAAAATCATGGATCCCCAAATAAAAAGTTACATAATGCATGTTTAAGTAAAAGTACAGATACCAGAGCAAAAAATAAATAAATAAAACTCAAGTAAAAGTACAAAAAAAATCGCATTGCAGATTTTGAGATCTAATAAAACTTCAATGTAGAGATGTTCATAAAGATTTGTATTTGAATTTTGTTCAGAGAAAAATTAAATCAATTGATTGTTTGTTGTTTTCTAGCTATTTGTATTTGTATATATTTATTTGCTCAAATTACAATTGTGTTCAGTGAAACCCTCAGCCTTTTCAGCAGGTTTCACACAATAATAAAAATACTTTTACTTTTCAGTCCTGCTCAAAAATGTCATAGAGTAAAAAGTACAGATACATGCTCTCAAATGAAGTAATGAAGTAAAACTAAAAAGTATCCACTTTAAAATTATTAAAATTATTTAAGTAAAGTACACATGCTAGTACTTTAGTACTTTCACGGACATCACATTTACATTTTGTTCCACCACTGCATACAGTAACAGATTATAAGCACGTTTCACAACTTTCAGAGACCAGAGCAGAGTTTTGCAATTACGATAAAGTTAACAGCAACTAACATGCAAACCGTGCACTTCCTGATTAGATGCAAACAGTATGCACCGGACTTACATTGACCTCAAGAGCTGCACTGGGGCGAGCTGTAATAAGGAATGAGGCATGAGTTCATAAGGAGAACATGCAAACCCCACACAGAGACCCCACACTCAGGAATCGAGCCCACAACCTCATAGTGAGAGGGATAACTACTCTGCCATCATAATGCCTTCAAAAGTATGATAAGTATGTACTCACTCAAGGTTGACTTCGTAAGACTTCCTAGGAGTCAAGAAGAAGAAGTTCACCAACAGCGTCACCAACAGGAGACCGGTGAAGAGCGTGAGGACTGGTTAAGGGTGGATCACTCAACTGTGTGTTCAAATACAAGAAAAATACTTCAACTGTGACAAAGTACTACTACTACTGTCACACTATACACCAATACAGCTACTACTACTATAATGTTGTTACTAGTGATGAGGGATCAGTACCAAAATAAGGTACTACTTCCATTACTATTATCACTACTACTACTGCTACTACTGCTTCTACTATTGCTACTACTATACTGCTACTACTAATTCTACTGCTAAAACTACTACCACTACTACATTCACTACTACTTGCCATAGTATCACATGGTAAAACTACTAAAAATACTACTTGACATAGCATTACACATTAAAACGACTAAAACTACTACTTGACATAGCATTACACATTAAAACGACTAAAACTACTACTTGACATAGCATTACACATTAAAACTACTAAAACTACTACTTGACATAGCATTACACATTAAAACTACTACTTGACATAGCATTACACATTAAAACTACTAAAACTACTACTTGACATAGCATTACACATTAAAACTACTAAAACTACTACTTGACATAGCATTACATGGTATCAGAGCAAAACAAAAATAACTCCTCATTAGTTACCAAAAGTTACCACTACTATTTGTCACTACAGCTGTGTAAAAGCTTGAAGTACTAATGTAAATACAAAAAAAATATGTCTTGCCATTTAAAAACAAAGTATAAACAAGTCACTACTACTGCAACTACTTTACTTACATCTTAGGTACAACAAGTTAATAATACTGTTAATACTAGTGCAGAAATGACCTCTACTATCTAAAAGTTGCCAATGACTTTTACTCAGCAAAAACTGGAGGGTTAAAATTTCAGGGTGAAATATTTCAGTTGTTTTTAACACAAAAAGTGTTATTTTAACTATTGGAAAGTTAAATGGGGATTCAGGTTGGGGTTATTTTGAGCTGATATGGTTGAAGTTAATTCAACTTCCCCTGGTGTTAATTCAACTTCACTTAGAGTTAATTCAACTTCTCTTAGTGTTAATTTGGTACTTCCCCCACACCACTTCGAACTCCTGTGAGAGAAGATCAGTTTGAGCCATTTTTTAAATATAATTTGATCTTAAATCAACTAAAATACAGTGTAAAAATAAAACACCTCTGTGTATTGTTTATCTAAATCAGGATAACCCTACAAAGTGTTATCCATTTATTCTCAAAACGTTAATGCAACTTGATTTCGGGGTTAAACAGGAACTTTGGTCCAGTGTTACTTGATTAACATTTCCAAAAATGTTAAATTAACTTTAGAACAGATTGGACTCATATAAACCCTGAGAAAATGTTCAAATTCTGTGAGAGTCAATTTTAACACTTCACTCTTTTCTGTGTATTGTCATTATGAGTACAATTACTTCTACTGCTACTAATACTATTACTATTCTTGCTGCTACTGCTGCTGTTGCTACTACTATTACTACCACCACTACGACTGCTACTACTACAAATACTACCCCTATTTCTACTACCAATACTACTGTTGCTGTTGTGGCTCCTACTACTACTGCTGCTACAACTTCTACTACTGCTTCTGCTGCTACTATATCTACTACCACTTCTGTCATAGTAATGTTTGTAAAGGATATCAGTGGTTGAGGATCCTGATGGCCGCTCGTCTGAACAAGCTGAAGGGGCTGAAGTGGAAACAGGAAGAGTCTGCGTTGAACCTGGAGAGGACATTTCCCTTGGAAACCACAACGAATGTCTGCGGGGTCAAAGGGGAGAAGTCACAAGGACAATGGTACATAAGTACATAAGTATTCTGAAGGGAATTTAGTGGGTTTTTTTTAGGCTTGTTGTCGTGTACCCCCCCTCGGCCACAGGAGAGCTCACCCGGGTGGGGTAAAAAGATGAAGGTTTTGGCGTAAATTCCATTGAAGGGCCCCTGACATTCAGATGAAGATGTTCATAATGCTTTATTTTAGTAAATGTATAGCTGTTGGAGCATTACAGATTAAGAGTGATTAATTTAGATCATAGAGGTATTTTTGTGACCTATGTTAGCCTAAGATACTTGTTTTGTTTCGTTTTAATCTGATTTGTTTCTTTTACTTTGATTTGTTTAAATTCTTTCAACTTAATTTCTAGGTTTGGGTTGGTTTGCATTAATTTTTGTAACCATTATGTTTGTGTAAGGACTTTCTGTTCTTTTGACAGTTGTCCTTTATTTGACACTGATGTACGAAACCTATATGTTATGCGGCGCGTGGGAGGCCTGTAAACAATGCGGGTGCGAGCTTCCTGCTTGTGTTATCGAAGTTAAACGATATTTTTTGAGTGTAGTAAATGATATTTACCTTGTGTTATTGAAGAAATGATATTTTTTGAGTGTAGTAAATGATATTTATCTTGTGTTATTGAAGAAATGATATTTTTGAGTATACATTGTGGTTTTAAAGCTATGTGATATTTTTTGAGTGTAGTCAGAGTTATTTGCATTGTGTCTTTAAAGCTGAGTGATTTTCTGAGGGTTATTACAGTGATTAGAAAAAAGGTAGTGAGGCCCAGGCTGCGTAATTTAGCCCTGGTCCTTTCAACACTTGTCTATTTTATTCTGCTGATGCATTAAGTGTACAGGATGACCCAGTGAACTCTTTTCTAACTGTTCCATTCTCCTTTGGTACTTTCTAAAGAGGGAGTGCTACACTTGTATGGATTATTCATTCTAAACACATCACTTATTTACATCACCATGTTACCTTTGCTTGTGTTGCAGGTGCTATATTTGCAGAAAACAACATATTAAAATGTGACTTTGCTCTCTGTGCTAAGTCACTCCCCCTTCAACTTCAGCACTACCACAGGGAAGGAGGGTTTGAATAAGGCCCTGGAGAGATCACTAAAATACTCTTGCATAAAATAAACTTGCATGGATGACATACAGTATATTTTTGCAGTGGTCACGCTGGGGGTGTTCTACATGCATCTCTAATGGTGGATTGGTTATTAGTTTCCAGAGTTGGGGACTTGCAATTCGTGACTTGGACTCAAGTCAGACTATTGAGTCACTATTTTTAAAACTAGAGACTTGACTTGATAAAACAGACAAAGACTTTAGATTCACCTTGGACTTGAAGGTTAATGACTTGGGACTTGACTTGGACTTGACCCTGTGACTTGAGAAGACTTGATGCTTCTCCTAAAAATATATATGTTTTTAGAAAATACGTTTCTCTTTTCAGCTGATAAATGTGGTGCTGAATTTTACAGGAACAAACTGGAACATGTCCCTCTCACTTCTCTATTTGGTTCTTTGGATGTAACTGAAGTACTGTGATGTGATGTGATGTCTTCAAATGTACTACAGTAATTTACTGTACAATACAGTACAATACAGTACAATACAGTATAATACAGTAAAACAGAGGGAACTACAAAGAACATGATCCTTCCATTTCAGTGCAGACTACTTGACAAAGTAACTGTTATTTAGCACTTTTAAATCTGACCGTAATGATTCACACTAAGATCATGTCAAAACATTTAAAAAGGAAAAAATTACATTTCCACAACTCTTATCTAAATATTTATATATAAATATACCAAGATTTTTAAGTATGATTTAGTTTAAAATTCATATAAATGGCAAAAATCGAAGCTATATTTGGTACTTTGGTTTAAAGACCTGAAATGACTTGAAGCTCAAAGCAGACGACTTGGACTTGACTTGGATTTATGGGCTAGTGATTCAAGACTTGACTTGGACTTGCCTTTCTTTGACTTGGGACTTGACTTGGACTTGAAGTCAAAGACTTGAGACTTGTAAAATAATGACTTGGTCCCACCTCTGTTAGTTACTATAGTGACAGAATGCATACATTAGTGATCACTGCCAAATAAGTTTTAAGACAGTCTGAAAACTCAGACCACCAAAAAAAATTACAAAATGGATTTAATAAACACATTTTCAGGAGCCTGTGATCAGTCTGAGCCTTCATGGTCCCGTTTAGGAGTTATTGTTACTGTTACTGTTTTTTCTGTGTGAGAGACTTGTTTAAGTGCACAAATCAGCTCACCTGATGTACTTCCAGCTAAGTCAGCTCTTTCTGCTCAGATTATGTTCAAATAAAGTACAAATTAAAATCTTAACAGCACTTCAGACAGAACTACACTGCAAAAAACAAAATCTAGCCAAGTTAAGATGTCTTGGATTAAGAAAGTTTTATCATGATTTGAGTAAATTCCACTTGAAAAGTTAAATTATCTAACAGTGGAACAAGACTTTTTGTACTTACAATATGAGAATACATCTTACAACACTTAAAATAAGAAAAACAACTTTTTGCTCTTAAAATAAGAAACTAAATCTAAGGTTGCTTGAATTAAGAAAAACACACTTCCATTGGTAGCTCATTTTACTTATCAAGTTGAATCTACTCAAATAAAATCAAATGTTCTCATTTTAACAAGATGTTGCTTTTTTTTTTTTTTTTTTTTTTTTTTTCCCCAGTGAATGTCTACGGTTACGGTCACTCCCCCATGGAATGTTAATGACATCAGCAGCAAAGTATCAAGAAAAAATTTGACAGTGATTGAAGAGAGTCAGTGGGACAGATTGATAGGCAAAGACATAGCCTATTATTGTTGCTGTTGCTACTACTAGTACTACTACTATTACTACTACTTCTACTACTACTACATCTACTACTGAGTATGTTTCCCTTAGCAACCTGCCTGCTACTTGCTATGCACCAAAGTCTGTCTATTGAAATACTGTGTTGAGATAACAGTACTGCTATATGAATACAACTATTTTGGCTACTAGGTCCTGAGAAACTTTAGTAAGAAGGTCAGTTGATAGTGAAACCTTTTGTGATTGGTAGAAGGGGTCAGGATCCTCCAATGGGACATCTTGAAGCTCAGGGGGCGGGGCTCCATAGAAAAACGGCAGGACTTTCCCAGACTCCAGTTCAGGAGCTGGTTTCAGGTGGTAGTCCTCTTCCACCTGAGGGACATATATTTACAGTACATTTACACATCACATTGATTTGAAATATTTAAAGTGCAAATATTTTACTCTATTCTCTGTTCTAATGTAGTTTCTTCATCACAGACAGACCTGGAGTTATGTTTTGTTTCATTCACACACATTTAAAACACAAACTACTGCAGATTTAGGTTGAGTTTCTCTCTCAAAAAGAAAACAGTCCGTTCCACCTTCCATCATGTGATAATACAAGAAGTGCTCCACTGTGCTCCATTAGAATCATTTGGATCATTTTAGTCTTTGAATTGCCCATTTCCACTAAACAAAAGGTAAAAAGTAGCTGTTAACTTCAAAATTACCTCTTCATGACATCACAAGGTGGAAGAGAGCATTTTGAGCTTTGGAGATGTAGACAGAATAATAATAAAGAGTGACTCAAACATGTGTGAATGAAACAAGACACAGCTCCAGGCATGCTTCCAAGGACTTAACAACATTATAACCCTTAAAGCTAATCCATGAATAGCTAAAAATAATCCTTAATAATCTTTAAAGGTGCATTGTGTAACTTTTCTGGTGCAGGGTCGGTCAAATGTTTATTAATTACTTTTTTCGGGAATATTCCATTACTTTAAATAGCTCTACCTTACATTTATTTAATTACAGCTGGTTTTATAACTCAATGATACAGAGAAAAACAGGCATTCTGACTGTGAGCAGGGGTCACTTCCCCACAGATCTGACCTGTAACACAGTCTGGTTTGGTCTCCATGAAGATAAAAGGGTTTAATAGATGATATCACATCATTCTATTGGCCAATATTTATTAACACAGATGGGGACAACTAAAATGAATATTGTTAAAATGCTAAATTATGTTGTAACACAGTGACTTATTGAGTTTAGTTAATAATTGAAAATACCAGGTTCGACATTTGTGAATTTACCTTTTGGATATTTCATGGTAAAGCACAATGTAATCAAAAGGGAAATCTGGCCCTTGCTCCACATCTGGGAGTATGACAACATCACATTCTAGAATCTGAAAACCACCAGTACTTTAGGGTTTGTAAGTCTCTACGTCACAGGTGTCAAACATAAGGCCCGGGGGCCAGATCCGGCCCTCCAAGACCTTTAATCTGGCCCTCAGCTGATTTTCTACTAAAATATTGTAATTATATTTTCTATTAAAATCTTGTTAATTTTCTGTGGTGTTTATCACAGCAGCGTCTCCAGCGTCTCTGTACGTGGCCCCTCCCACCAGAGCAGCACAAATGAAGACTTGTCTCTTTCCAAATGCTCTTAAAGGGCGATCGTTTTGACTGTTGACCGTGACACCCTCATAAGAAAAATGTCCAAAATGAGAAAAGTGGAGCCGAGTGCAGGATTTTCCAAGAAAAATTGACTTATTCCTATTTACATACAAGTTCATGTTAAAACATTGTGTTGAAATTGTATTTTTCTTAAAGTTTCAGGTTGTTCATAATATTATAATATTTTGTAAAAGAGTTCATCAGTTAAAAAAGATTTCTGTAATAGATTTGTGTTTCTCTGCACAAATATTTAAACCTATTGTTATTTTTGGGGTTTGTATGACATGAGTTTTCTGATCCGGCCCCCTTTGAGATCAAAGTAGGTTGGATACGGCCCCCGGACCAAAATGAGTTTGACACCCCTGCTCTACGTCATAATCCTATTTCCAGGTCCAAGCCGCAGCTGCTACTGATACACAGGTAAAAAATGCTGCAGTGTTGTATACCCGCTGTTTGAACAGATCAGAAACCAACACTAATGATGAGGAGAAACTGCTATTCTTTTGTTTCCCAGTTGATGGATATCTGCCGTAGCTATTCGTCCATATCGCCATTATGTTCTCCCATTGCAATTTATATCCACAACAGAGAGAAATGTCTAAACCCTAACCCTAACACTAGCCAGGCTGGCACCACCTAGTGCCTCCTCTGAATTTCATTTCTCTCCAGTGACTAGGTCAGGAATCAGAATACACTAGACGGTTCGCAAAAACCCCGGAAGTGCGAGTCCGGGCACCAGCCAGATTCTGTATTCTGTGTTGGCAACTATTCCCGAGACTGAAGATTTAAAGCCAGAACAAAGAAAATGTTTGGAGAATTTTATCAAGGGGAAAGACGTTATTGCCCTTCTTCCTACGGGATTTGGAGAAAGCTTAATATACCAGTTAGCACCGTTAGCGGAGCATTACATACATCACAGCCAAATAGCAGCGATTGGTTAAATGATAAAAAGTATCCGCCTACCGTTGAGTGAATGAATCCTAATGCTGTGAGGTCAGACGATTTCTATGAAGTGAAACCGGCTGATGAATCAGGCTACCCTAACACTGTATTAAATTAGAAATTACTAGCTAACTTATCATTTCTGGCTAGGCTACCTAGCTGCTAACACTAACTCACCTTGACTTCATAAACTTTCTTCTTTCCCCAGGATGCCTGGACCTTACACTTTATAATGCCACCCTAAAACACGTCTGGTTTGATCTCCATGAAGAAAGAAAGGTTTAATACCATACTGTGAAACATTCCAGAAAAAGCAATAACATGTCCACAGAAAAAACTATTTGATGGACCCTCCACTAGAAAAGTTACACAATGCACCTTTAATTTACCGTAGACTTGTGACTTCACCTGTTTGTTCTTTGAGTCGGAGCATTTCTTGATCTGTTCCAGTGACTCTGGAGTGAAGCGCCTGAACACTTCAGTGCCCACAGGGGGCAGCCGAGAGGCCACCCGGCTCTTGTGCAGTGCCGTTCGGACATCACTGTCACTCAGCAGACTCGACCTGGACACAAGACACAACACAGCTGAGACCACCATACCAACGCTTTCTACATGAAACACGAAATCTGATGTTATCTGATCTTAACCTCAACAGACTACAACTACTACTACTACTACTACTACTACTACTATTAAATCTACAACACTACTACTACTGCTTGAAGACTAAATTCATAAAGATTGTTACGTAATTGCACTGCTATAACTCTCTGCTCTTGGTGCCACTACTAAAATACTGCAAATACTGCTACTATTCCCACTACTGCTAGTACTACTACTACTGCTACTACAAAAACTACTACTCCTACTACCAATACTGCAGAATCTAAGACTAAATTCATCATGACTTTTACTACATGCTACTTTTCTTATATAATGTCTGCTACTTTTGCTACCACTACTACTACTACTGCTAAAACTACTGCTACTGCAACAACAACAACAACAACTACTACTACTACTACTAGTACTACTACTACTACTACTACTAATAACACAAAATCTAAGACAAAATTCATAATGATTTTTACATGCTACTGAAGCTATAACTACAAATACTTCTGCAGCTTCTCTTATATGATGTGTGCTACTTTTACTACAACTACTTCTACTGCTAAAACTACTGCTATAGCAACAACAACTACTACTACTACTCCTCCTCCTACTACTACTACTACTACTACCAGTAATACAAAATCTAAGACAAAATTCATGATGACTTTTACTACATGCTACTGAAGCTATATGCAATTTTTCTTCCAAGATTTCTGCTACTGTTGCTACTGCTACTACTGCTACTACTATATCTATTACACTATTACTACTGCTTGAAGACTAAATGCATAATGACTGTTACGTAACTGCATCATTTTACTGATGATGGTGCAACAAGTACTATACTTCCAACACTGCATACTGCTACTACTCACTATTACTACTTTCTGAACCTCAAGTGATCAAATGATTTTCGTGTTTTGTTATTTTAACTACTACTATTACTACTACTACTGCTGCTGCTACTACTACCAGTACTACAAAATCTATTAAATCTACAACAGTACTACTATTACTTGAAGACTACTTTCATAATGACTTTTACTACATGCTCCTGAAACTATAACTACTAATACTTCTGCAACTTTTCTTATATGAAGTCTACTTTTGCTGCTACTACTTCTACTACTTCTACTACTTCTACTACTACTACTACTACTACTACCATCACTACAACACTACACATACTCAAACTTGAAGGCTAAATTCATAATGACTTTTACTACATTCATTACATGCCACAAAACTTTAACTAGTACTACTTCTGCAACTTTTCTTCTCCAATTTCTGCTACTGCTACTACTACTAATACTACTGTCTACTGTCTACTACCAATACTGCAAAATCTACAATACTACTATTACTACTTTAAGACTAAATTCATAATGACTTTTACTACATACTACTAAAATTATAACTACTAATACTTCTGCAACTTTTCTTCTTCTATTTCTGGTATTGTATAAAGCCTCACTAACATTTTTTGTCAAGAATAGAACAAATTAAAAAATGTTTTTTTTTGTGTTTGTTTTCACTTTTTTCATGTTTGCAGTTTTTTTTTACTCATCCAGTGTAAATATATGTCTGTAATTGATAGTAGCAGTAGCAGTAGTAGTATTTGCATTTGCATTTGCAGAACTCACAGTTGGGCGTTGTTGAGTTTGAGTTCTTTGTCTGTCTCCAGGAGCTCTCCTCTCTCTTTGCGCGCGCTCCACAGCTCAAGAAAGGGGGTCCTCATGGCTCCGTGTGCTACAGGAACTGAGGGGCCGGAAAACACAGACCTAACGCTTTATACAGACACGCACACACACACACACACACAGACGCGCACAGACACACAGGCACGGGGGGGAGGGTTATGTAACTGCACTGATATTACTCTAAACCATTCATTTTACTGGGACTGCTGCTGCTGGTGCTACTACTAAAACTACTGTTACTACTACAAATCATTTTTATATAGCATGTTTCCACCTTCAAGGCTCAAAGCTCTTTACATCAATAAGCCACTCACCCATTCACACACACACTCATACATCAGTGTACACAGACACTGGGATGAGGTGTCTTGCCCAAGGACACAAACACAGCATTCATCTGTGGGAGCTGGAATCACACCACCAATTTGTGGGTTTATGTCAAGAGCGGGATTCAAACTACCAAACTTCTATTACTACTACTACTACTACTAATACAACTAATACTACGACTACTACTTCAACTACTTCATAATGACTTTTACACAAGTGCACTGCCACAACTCTCTACACTATTCATTTTACTGTGACTGCTGCTGCTGTTACTAGTAAAAATATTGCAACTACTGCTACTACTAATACTACTATTACTACAACACTACAATTACTTGAAGACTAAATTCTTTACTTTTACTACATGCTACTAAAATTATAACGATTAATACTTCTGCCACTTTTCTTCTCCTATTTCTGCTATGACTACTTTATAATAACTAGACCTTAAAGAACATAATATAAAGTCTGAATTGACTTTTGCATGGCTGAAATGTAAATGGTATATTTTGGTATTTTATTCAACCACATCAACAGTTTGACTAGAGGTTCCATCACAGATGTCACACTTCAACTTCTACTACAACACAGCAAATCTGAACATGTTTATACTGTTAAAAAGTACAACCACAACTACTGCTGGTACTAGTATTACTGATATTGATACTTTGATGCTGATGTCATCAACATTCCCTGGGGTGTGATGCTAATTGTTAGCACTGCTCTGTTTGAAGTGCTGTTACTCATGTTAGGCTTTAATCTGAGCTTTGTTTTAACACAGTCTGAGCAGAAAGAGTACAGTACAGTTAGAACTACAGCAGGTGAGCTGATCTGTGCTGTTAAACAAGTCTCTCACACACAGTGTTGCCAGATTGGGCGGGTGTCCACCCTGTTGGGCTTCTTTGACTACGCTGGGTGGGGAGGGAAGCCTTGGGCGGGAAGATAATATTAGGGCTTTCAACAAGTTTGGGCGTTTTTTTCTTTTCACAGAAATCAACGTAATATGAAATAATGCAATAACGCAATAACACAACAACGCAATAACACAATAACACGAGGGACAGTGTGGGACTTTCACTCCTGTCCAGTCTTATGGAGGTGCTCCAGCCTGTGCACAAATGAATGGACGTCCTCTACGTTCAGACCTCCCGGTGTTCAACTATTACAGAGATTTAATTCTTGATCTGGATGTGTGAGTGGGCAGGCTATGAGCTTGCTGTTCTTGCAGTAGATGAGGCTATAGGCGATCACTGATAAACTTTACTTTTATTTGTGATGAAAATGCTGTTCTACATTTTACAAACGGTGTTACAGAACATGTTTTCTCAATACTGGCTGTCATGGCTGGTGCTCCCCTCCCTGTGTGTGTGTGAGTGTGTGTGTGGGCGGAGTCTCCTGGTCCTGATTCGTCGCACCTGCAAGCAATCAAGAGCCATCTACTTCAGACCTGCTCACCTGTGAGACTCTGCCAGATTGTTAGCTACCTACACACGGTGAACCTCCTGGCTCCTCATTCCGAGTTTTTGTAATTCTTACCTTTTCGCTTCGACGTTTTCACTTACCCGCGTTCTCTGCTCACCAGTGTTCCCTGCCGTCTCCAGTCCTGCTCCAAGCCCTGCTCCAGCCCTGCTCCAGCCCTGCTCCAGCCCGGCTCCAAGCCCTGCTCCAGCCCTGCTCCTGCCCTGCTCCAGTCCTGCCTCCAGTCCTGCCTCCAGCCCTGCTCCAGCCCTGCTCCTGCCCTGCTCCAGCCCTGCTCCAGCCCTGCCTCCATTTTGTAAAATAAATTCACCTTTTATTTTTACCTGGTCTGTTGTCCATTTTTGGGTCCCTCCTCTGCTTAACCACATCACTGGCGATGTTTTTAAAAGGCCAACAACAAAGATTAAATTCTGTGACAAAATGTTGTTTGGTGTTTTTTGCTGAAGAATCAGAGAGTGCAGAGCGCCAAATGCCAGGTTCAGTGTGATCCATAGACTGTTTATATAAATGGACATAGCAATCCTGCTAACCATCACGTTCCAAACAGGAAGTGAACATGGACACGCTTCCAGCTCCACTGGCTCCAGCTCCACTTCAGTTTATATTGAATAAACCTCAGTAAGCCTCATTTGACTGGAGACAAATGCTATGAGGGGACTTCACGGTCCCCTGGTCCCCTTCTTTATTATTTCCTGGATCTTTGTGTGAATGGGACTGAGGGGCCCACCCATGGGCCCAGATCCCTCCCACTGCCACGCCCACCACTGCCATAATAGCAACTCCAACATGCCGTATATCTCTGTAATCAGAGGAAACTTAGCAGAGCAGCCAAATAAATCATTTTCAGATGAAATGAACACAGCTCAGTTAAAGAGCAAATAAGTCCCCAAATGTCACCACCTAGCTGCATTGTTAAATGTTACACTTTTAGACTAAGCTTTTGCAAAAAACTATTCTAATGCATCTGTACATAAGAAAGTTATATATCAATGGGAAGCATAAAATCACCTGAATCCATACTAATGTAAATCAGTATCATATGTGTTTGTTTATCCCTAACTATAACCAAACTAGAAGTCAAAATGTGCAGCCAGAATAGGTGAAAAACTGAATTATAATTTTAAATAAATGTTCCCCTTTGCTGTTTTTCCATTCAAAGTTGTTCACTCAGACCTAAAACTCAAAGTTTTGGCTAAACCAGGCACATAAATAATAATGATCACAGGATGAAGGATTCTGCTGGTGTTTTCAGCTCATGGCCCCGCCCACATCTGCTTGCTGGCGGCCATTTTGCTAGTGTTAGCATTAGATTTGTGATACATGTAAATGTACAAAAACAATCCAGCAAAAAGAAAGGAAACAGTGCCTATTTCAGTGTTTTTCAACCTTTTTTGAGCCACGGCACATTTTTTATGTTGGAAAAATCTTGCGGCACACCACTAACCAAAATGTTACAAAAATTACACTATATAGTATATTTAATTACAATATAATTTCTACATTAATTTCTACTTACTCAGTGTGAGACCTGCGCCTGTTTAGATGAACACAAAGCTGATATCCTGGCAGGAATAGAAGAAAGACACACATGAAGCTCTTCATCAACAGCTCTCAGTCTCTCTCTGTTTTTAGTTTTTATAGCAGTTAAGCTTGAAAAGCTCTTCTTCTGGGTCAGAATCTTGTCCAGGGCCCATTTTGGAGTTCGCATTTGTCCATTTTAAAAACTTCTCCATGACTATCACCACGCACATGCGTTACTAATTCTTTTAAAGCAGGGGTGCTCACACTTTTTCAGCATGCGATCTACTTACAAAATGACCAAGTCATAAAGATCTACCAAATACAAAGCCAAGCAAACTGCACTGAAACTCTCTGTGCCCCTTTTTTGGACCCTCACCCACAGTTTGAGAACCTCTTCTTTAAGAGAACTTCCTCTGGCACTTTACACAAAACTGTGAAAAAAGTGAAGGAAGATTTTTAAACCTGTTTTTTTAAAGTTCCAAACTGGAGTTTCATTCTTTTCTGGTTTTGCAGTGATATTTACCAGCCTCTGCACATTTACCAAACCAAACACACATCGTGACAAACACAGATGCATTTGTGCACTTTTGTTAGGCAAACTTCAGCCAAATGTGGCAGTAGGTCTGTCCTGTAGATCTGCTCTATGCTGTAGACCTGCTTTGTGCCAACACTGGAACACAAATTTAGACTCGTTTTTGCTCCACGTTTCGTCTTGCTCTTCTAATCAACTCGCACTGTGGGAGGGGCTTGTGTTGGCTGTACGCAGGAAGGAGTGAGAGCGTGAAAAGGCGAGGGGCGGCGTGCTGATGTGAGGCAGATGGACAGGTAGGATGTTTAGGAAGTTGAACCTGCCCTGTGATGCACGCTGGTACACGAGGGCACACGCTGTTGCAGACGAGCCGTGCGTAGGGAGCGTGTGTGTTTGTGATGTGCCGTAGAGTCTCCGCGGGTTTCAAATGAGCGCACAGGCTGCACTGAGACGCCCCACACGCTCTGGCACACCTGTACAAGTTTATTACCAACAGCAGCGGCCGTAATTAAATATGATCACACTTGTTGAGTGTCAGACCTTGAGTGAGAGACAAGACCGAGTCCAAACGCGAGTCCGAGACGAGACACGGCGATCTACCCACACGACCTTGGCGATCGACTGGTAGATCGCGATCGACGTATTGAGCACCACTGATTTAAAGGAACGAGGCAATTAGCTGCCTGTCGCCACCCGGACGAATATTACATCACTCTGCCAGTCATTATATACTACACCGTACTACAGCACGGACACTCGACAATGACATAATATTTGCAGGTAATAATTAAAAAATTTTTATTTAAAAAAAAGTGATATTGGATAATTTCTCACGGCACACCTGACGATCTCTCACGGCACACTAGTGTGCCGCAGCACAGTGGTTGAGAATCACTGGCCTATTTGTTACTCTAGCAGCATGAAATAGAAATTATGAACATCTGAGAAATTACAATATTATAATCTAATTAATTAATTTATTTATTATAATTATTTTATTTTATTTCAGGTTTATTATGGGTCAAATTGTGACATTAAATGTTTGAAAATATTTTATTTATGATCCTTGTGTATCAAAATTAGCTTTTATCTCAATAAATTATTTATTCTGACAAAATCTGTTGAAAATCTGACAAAATCCGTTGATGCCAGTTGGCACATGGGGGGCACATGGGCATCAGACTGGCTCA